TACCAAGGGGGTGCAAGCCTGAGTAGTTCACACTGTAATAAAATCACTGTCTTACGGGGGGATGAAGGGTTTCTTGTTTTCTGGTCTCTGCTACGAGAAATACTTTTACATGAGTCATTAGATAAAAACGCATAACAGCACTGAGAACAGGGACTAGACTGGAGTAGGCTATCCCACTCCCTCCAACTACACACTCAAGTTATTCATGTTTGCATTAGAAATGTCAAAACTATTAAGAAATGCTGTTTTGTATTTCAATGTGCCAACATCCTGAAGGGTTTTCAGCTTGGCAAAAATGCTAGCAGGGGAAATGTGGGCCCAAGAGGTTTTCTTGGCATAAATAAATAAAGGATTATCATATTTTTTTTTTCCCTCTCCCCAGTCCAGAAGAGGCTATTTTTAAATGTGGAAATTGAATAGAAGTAATCCTGAATTAACTTAATTGTTTGAACTCTGTAGCCCCAGTGAAAAGGTGGTGTCGGTGACAGGGATGTTGGTAATCCAATTGCAAGGCCAGGTTGTACATGTGAGTATTAATAACTGCACTTTGTGATAAATAACTGCAGTGATTTTTCTATAATACTGATATTTTGATAATTATGAATAATATTGATAATAAGAAGTAATCAAGTCAGAGCTGATGAGATTTTGATACACATGAATTATGTGGCCATTAAGAACTCACCTGCTGAGTGTACTAATCAATAGCTAATCAAAACAGCTGGGGTTGGAAATTAATATGTAGAGTAGCTAAAGTCATAATTTAAATGGTGACTTAAGGGTTTCAAGCATTTTTCAAGGTGACTTCATTATGCACATCATTTTTTCTAGGGTGTTTTAGCAATGTCAAAAAGGCTGTGATTACAGAAATGGATAATGAACAGCTAGCAAGATTTTGGGTGGGTTCCTTGCATTTAGGATAAGATCTCTGTCTCAGATCCTGCTGGGACAAGCCAGAAAATGCTGACAGCATCCTTCCAAAATGGTAGAATAACTTTTACCAGATGGTGCTACTGTTTTGGTGTGCCATGCATGAAAACAACACCAGCAATTACAAAATCTCACAGTAGAATCCAGGGCTGATCAAGAGAGACAAAAGGAGCCTACAGGCCAGAATTTCTGTGCCCAAGGCAGAGAGATCTAAATATTGTTCTCCTACCTAATGACAAGAGACCATTTGGATACTAGCAATAGACATGAGATCTCATTTGTGCAGGCTGGCACTAAGCCATTCAACACAGACAACATTGAAATAGGCCCATGGCTGAGACAGTGGAAGAATTAGGTCCTGTTATGCGGTCCATGCAGTCCATGCCTGCTCTGTGCCTTCACAAAATGGGAAGTGCCAGCACTGGGGTGGATGTCCTATGTCACGGAGATATGACATATTGCCCTGCCTCTGGTATACCTACCAGCTTTTGGTATTAAAATGTAAAAATACAGTGCTGCTAAACAGAAAACTTTGGGAGAAGGTAGCTTCATCAAGGCGAGTAGGTCCTCCCTTGTAAGACCATCTCAGATGGAGATCATTCAAACCTGCAATTTTCCAGAGAAGACTCCTTGCCACCAGAACACCAGTCAGGACAACAGCCTTCTCACACCTCTGCTGCTAAAAATCATCAGCTGGAAAGGAAAATCTGAGGCTGTGAGGAGCAGCAAAGGTTATGGGGAGAAGTGATTTGACTGGGACTCTCTATATTGTTCATACTTCATTCTTGCTAAGTAAAAGTCATGAAACCCCTCTTCAGCATACTTACTCCTTGCTGCCTGTCTCAACTTACCGAGCTCTTTGCTCCTTTCTGAGTGGCAGCATTGGCTCAGCAGGTTGTAGATGATGCAGCAGCAGGGGCCAGCCTTGTTTAGGCACCTGAGGGACCTGAGACAAGGGGAGGAAATCCAGAACACAGGAAAAGTGTTTTACAAATGTATTTGTGTTGATTCCCACACTTAAAATGCTGATGTGTGTTCCCCTACATGCACTCCAGTAATGGATTCTGGACCTTTTTTCTGCCTTTAGCCACTTGCTGGTGTTGTGGGTGCAGCCACAGGGCACTGATGCTTTAGGGCTGGAAGCTTTTTTGCCTGAGTAACTTTAGTGACAAGCGTGCTCCTGCTGTTACTGAACCTGGAGCACAGACTGGTGCCTGCAAAGACACCTTGTGAAACCTGTGAAACCAGCTGCTCTGCTCTACAGCTGTGCCATCCTGTGGTATCACCATGTATCCACGACGGACTTGTTGTTGTGTTGGCCTTGCAGGAGAGAGGTCTTGGGCCATCCAGTAAAGGCTTTTTCTGTGTTGTCTGTTTCTAGTTGCCTTTCAACAGGTATGCATCCTTAGACTTGCGCCCTCTTGCTCCCCTGCTTATCTGGTTTCCCCCCTTTTATATTTTGACTCTGCTCCCATTCTGGCTTATTTTGTACTCCCTCCTCTTCATCCAGTCTAACCTCAGCATATGTGCTCAATGGTGTATGAGCTATTAGAGTTTTCGTCTGGAGCTTGGGGATAGTGGTGGAAATGGTCCTGTGCTCTGCCTTCCTCTTTTCCTGTTCCACATCTTTCTATGTCCGTGTCTGAATCCTGCAGATCAACAGCATTTTTGCAATTTTCTCTAGGTTTCTGTAAATTAGCAGAAATACAGATGACAAACCAGGCTGGCACTAAGGCCACAGAATGCCTCTGGGCAGGTGTCTGGCACACCTGTGGCTGCAGGTGTCTCTGGGAATGTCATGGGGCTGCACAGCACTGCTGCCTGTCTGTGGAGGAAAACCCAAGCACTTTCAGCAGTGAGGAGTCTCAGTCCATCATGGTTACTAAGGTGGATTTTGTGCTACACTTAGAAGCTTTCAAAACAGTGTACTAGCTTTGGTTAGCCCAGTCTGGCTTTATCCAGCTGCTACAGGATTTTGCACTAGACAATTTCATCTATTTCTGCAGCTACAGCATACACTTTTATCTGGAAGCAAACTACTTACTTATTTGCTTTTAATTATTTATGGTAATGAAATAGCATCCATATCTCAAAATTTTCCACAGAAATAAATACTCTTTATTTCAGATCTGTGTCCATGAAAGAAAGCACAGTTGCCCAGTGTTGCTTATAATGTTTATTTGTTCTTAACTTCAAAACACAGGTGATTTTCTCAAAACAAATAGAGTAATGGGGGAAATGGAGGTGGACTCCCTTAGTAACTTTCCCAAGAAACACATCTGGAAGAGCATATTTTTGCAGAACAACTATATTTCAGCACACCCAGACAGCAAGATTTCAAAAGTCTGTAAGCAGTAGAGGTTAGCAGAGAATGTTGCTGGTTTTTTATTTTTTATTTTTTCCCTTATTTTTCCCCTGTTTAAGTTGCCATTGGCACTAAATGAACCCACTATTTCCATGGCTAACACAGAGACATTTTAAAAGAAGTCTTTGAGTATGTAGTTAATTTACAGGATGAGGAATTACAAAAACATAACTCCTCATTTTAATTCTGTAAAATAAACTTGGTGATATAATTGGATAGTGTAACATCTGTTAGTCTGGCAACTGATTTAGGCCTACAGTATAGCTATTTAAATCATTAGCCTTAGTTGCTACTTGGTTGGGTTTACAAAAAAAAAGTAACTTTTTACCCATAGGCAGGTAACAACACTTCCTTTAGAAGCAAAAGTGAAGTGTTGGATTATATTTTGTAAATAGCTCTGATGCCACACCTCATCAGTACTCTTAAAACCTAAGTCAGTTTTGGTTTCATTACCTGTACATCTCTTGCTCCACCTTCAGAGGAAGGTAGAAAAACAGTTTGGAGACAGATCAGTAAAATCAAAGGCCAACTTTCCTGAATCAGAATGCCACAGCCAGGCCCTGCTCAACAGGAATGTGGGTGGGGGTGGAAATAATTCTGCAAACCAATGAGGAAAATATGAAGACACTGCTCAGACTACAGTGACTAGAATATACCAGGCTAGTATTTTCAATGTATTACAACTCCTGGTCCTTGCATAGACACACACAGAGTCAGACACAGGCCATCAGAAGATGGCCTATGAAGGTGATCCATGAAGATAGGCTGAGAGCCGGGGCTGTTTAGTCTGAAGGAGGTTTGGGAAAACCTTAAAGCAGCCTTCCAGTACAAAAGGGGAGCCTACAAGAATGATGGACAGGGACTTTTTACAAGTGATAGGACAAAGGGAAAAGACTTTAAACTGAAAGACAGTAGGTTTAGATTAGATATTAGGAAGAAATTCTTTACTCTGAGGGTGATGAGACACTGCAACAAGTTGCCCAGGGAAGCTGTGGGTGCTCCATCCATGGAAGCATTCAAGGCCAGGTTGGATGGGGCTCTGAGCGACCTGGTCCAGTGGAAGGTGTCCCTGCCCATGGCAAGGGGGTTGAAGCAAGATGATCTATAAGATTCCTTCCAGCACAAAGTATTATCTGATCCTATGATCAGACATACTCCCATGAGGTGCCTGTGGGGCCCTATGGGGGGCACACCTGGGTACCCTGCAGGGGAACGTGGCTTTTCTGCCACCTTGCAGCCTTTGGAGCTGTAGCAGCAATCTCAGCAAGGCCCGTCTTCTCCTACAGCCGTGGCTGTGAAGTAGCACAGAGTTAAAACAATCATCTATTGCTGTGACTGTTAAAGAGCAAAAGACATACTTGGAAATGTAGCTCAGAATTGGTAAAATTTGGATAGGAACATATTAGTTAATTTTGTTAGCTAATACCTGCTCTCCTGAAGTCGGTCTTTCTTTTCCTGCATGAATGTGAAAATCAAGTGTTTCTGGCACTGGGTGTGCTGCCCACATTTTAATGTTCTTTGGAGCATTTTGTACCTACATAAAAGGAAAATATCTCTTTACCATCTGATTTGCTTGAGTTGTATTGTCATCAGTGCTATAGCAAGAAACAGATGGAATGGGAATTAGTAAATTACTCAAGCACTGCTCTGTAGAGGGTCTTCCTGAACACAAAGTGTGTATGTGTGTATTAAGCAGCCACAAAACTTACAATCTATCACATTCAATATTGGGGTTATTGGATGGTGTATCAAGAATACCAAAATACACTTCCCTGTTTGCTGGAGGTGGGGTGTTGGTTGGGCTTCCCACCCCGGAATCAGGGCTTGGTGCGGGGTGCATTTCTGGTGCATACTTCTCTTCTTTCTGAGAAGGCTGTGGCTGCTTTGGTTTGAGGTTTTTGAAACGTTTGAGCTTCACAGGGTCCTTGACTTCCTTGGCACAATGGAACAAGATGAAAATGTCCCTTCGAAATTTGGAGCTCATTCCAAAGTAGATGATGGGATTGTAGAAGCTAGCAGACTTAGCAAACAAACTGGCAAGGATGCTGGTAAGGTTGGGCACAGGGTGACCATAGGCAGACCATATAGAGATGACAGCATATGGTGACCATGCAATAATGAAGGCTGTGCAAATGACAATAGAAACCTAAAAGACAGAAGAAGAAGAATAATCTTAAATCTATTTTGTAAGACTACATCGCAGGAGCAAAACACTGAGAATAATATCTTGGACACTTGGCTGGGAGGGAAAGGTCTGGATTGCCCTGAGGGTATAGGAGAATATGGGCAAGCAAATGGTTTGCTTTGATGCAGACAGGCAGACCTAGGAGCTGCATACTGAATTTTGGCATGGTGGTGTGGTTGAGAAATGCCTCATCTAACGGAATGAAAATAGCTACATTCCCATATGTTTATATGAACACAGTGGGTTTCAGGTAGACTAAACAGTGAGTAAACTGAAATCTCCACTCTAAATTCTGAGTATGCTCAGTGTAACTTATGAAAGAAAAGAGCATATGCCAAACCAAATCTTTTGGGTTTGTGCTATATAGCCCACTCCAGTTATATTTAGATTATTTTTCAAATGTGATGCAACATCAATATTAACCAATTGATGCAGTAGAAATTTTAAACAAACCTCATATTCTTCACTGACTTCAAACTCTGTCACTGGAGTTATAAAGAAAGGAAATGCAATTGATTGGCTTTGTTCTCTTCTGTTCTAGTTGAGATTAATTTTTGGAAAGATAGATTTCATTGAGATGAATCCCACCAGGTATGAAACCCAAACTCACCCTGGTGACGTCCCGCTCTATTCTCCTCTGTCTGTCTGTGGGATCACCCAGTCCTGTCAATGCATGGCTCAGTTTGACAGTGTTGATGATTGATACATATGAGAAGACCATGACTGTGACAGGTAAGAAAAAACAGCAGATAAAAATGGAGACGATGTAGGACTTATAGATTGTGGAGAAGTTGGCTTTTGCCCAGTCTATCTCACATGTGCCATACATGCGATCTGGAAAGCAAGAATTTGTTGGTTAGCATTTTTAGAATATTTATCTGCTTTTGAGCAATTGATTTATTAGTTAAAATGATGTATTTTTCTTCTGCCATTCCACTACGGAATGGAACGATCTTTCTGGTTTAATGAGACATGACATTACTTCCTACATAAACAATTTTTCAAGACCATTTAGAGTGTAACAAATTTTAATGGGTATTATCATTCTGTTGAGTTTGTACTGCCAGTGTAAATCCAAAATGCAGAAACAATTGTTTCAGGATAGGAAACTGTGACGCTTCATTAAAAAAAAGGTTTTATATCCTTGAGTGATATGTACTCTTATTTGTCATAATACTCTACATAGTAACTTCCTAGGATGAGCACTGTAACAGCATAACAAGGAATTCCATAGACAATATGCCAAATGTAAAAAGTTACTTACATAACTAAACAGGAAATAAAAACATTGAGTCTCCTTGAGGTAATGGAACTTCTACTGCAGTGAGAGCCATGAGACTAAATTACAGCTAATGATTAAGATTATGAGAAGATAAAACATATAAATACCTAGAAAGATAAAAGACCTTTCAATAAATGGGAAACACACAGTCCTGCAACACAGAGATGCAGACTTTTAAAAATTAAGTCAGGCAGATTGCAGGGTCTGCCACTAGTGAGACACTAGCGGATCAGGGGCTTAAGGAAAAGACAGTGGAAATAACATGTAGTCTCTGGCTTGAGCACTTTTATGAATAACAGTTGACTTCTTTAGGCCCCCTGATGTGTTTGCAAAGATAACCCCACAGAAAACTTGAGATCTACGACTTTAGAGGTTTTTTTATAGACTGTGAATCGCATATTTTTCTTTTTAAGTGAAAAAAGCTGGGTTTTTTTTCTGACAGCTACGGCAACAAATTACAAATAAATGAAACATGAATCAAAATTAGGTAAGTCAAGTATTAACAGGTCCTGGAGACACAATATAGGTGACAATTACATGATTTAGCAGCAAATCTCTCCCTAACATCAAGCAGTAATTTTGAAGGAAAAAAATTCCCTTAATTCCTCACAGGTGATAGGAAATTTAAACAGGAGGAATTAAATGAGCAAAAGCTTAAAATCTTTTTTGTGATTCTCATCAAAAAGAGCTTGGTATTTTTATCACCAAAAGCTCTAGATGTTGCTGTCTGAATGTGTTCTGTAATAGAAATAGATTTTTTTCTCCTTTGTCTCTTTTGTCAGTAGACCTCAAGATTCAAAAATATAACCATAAAATCTGGCTTAATTCTGTGTTTCTGCTTTTGAAATCTTTTGCCTGAAAAATGAAACCAGCCTCCAGATAACAGGAAAAGAAAATCCATCAGATTTTCTGCAAGTCAGAATTCAGACCTATGTTTCCCCTTCCACAGGGACACAAATAAGTGGCTTTCCCAAAAATCAGTGGGGGCCTGGGGGGCCACTGAAGATACTGTGTAGTGGTGAAAGGCCCGAGGCAGCCAGCTGTAATGTGCTGTGGTCTGCTGGTGCCTGCTGCTGGACTTGCTGCAGCTGGGCTTCCACATCTCTGTGGGTGCCCTCACTGGAGGTGTGCTTAGGGACAGCCCAGGAACCCGAAATTGCTGTGAGCCTCAGCAGGGGAAAGCATTCCTAGAAGCAGTCTTGAAAACCACTGTCAAGGAATTGAATTCTAACAGGGTGCATGGAGGCACTTGAATGTTCTGACAAAGTAGTGTTGCCCAAAAAGTCCCTGGCTCCAGTTGAAGGCCAAAATCAGACATCAGAAGTCCCCCTATAAATGAAGAGCTGGTAGATTAATGTAAAAAGAACACAGATCACTAGAAGATACACAGAAAATTACCAGTCCAAGCCAACCAAGTTTATGACATGGCCAGAGTGCAAAAATATGACATAAAATTCAGACAGTCTAACAGTTTGAATTTGCCTCAAACCAAAGGTCCATTGAGCCTAATATCTTGAGAGTATTTTGGTTTGTGAAGAATAGAACATTTAACCAAACACAGGAATAGCTGCTTTTCTCACATCCCTACTTCAAGGGTCCAGAGGTACCTCACAGCTTATGTACTTAGTAAGTAAGAGAATATATGCACAGAGCTGCTTCACTAAGTTTTCATAGATTTCATGACTTCTCAAAGAGTGCAGAGATCCAGACAGGCAACTACTGGACAATGTCAGTCACAAAATTTCAGTTGTTGGGACTTCTGTATCATTACCATTTGTTCCTAAATACTTTTTTTGTTGAATTCTTACAGGCTTAAATTGAGGCAATTTCTCCATCTTTCCCCCATGAAGAAATTTTCTGGTCTGTCACATGCCTTAGCCACTGAATTTCTGCAGTGTTCACTATACAAAGTTTTTCCTTTTTTCCCTCATGCTCCTTTTTTGATATGGCCTTATCTTCCACCCTAATTCTTTCTCAGACTGACAGACTTTCCAACACCTTTGAGTTCCTTTGATATGTAAGTTTTCATATTTTCAACAAATCATTTTGCCACATCTTTCTGGCTTGTCTTATTATATTTTCAGGTTTAACTTGCTGGAACTTGTGTTCTTTGCTAGTTTCCTAAACTTGTCAGTTTTTGAAGGATGTCTTTAGATAGTTTTCCTCATCCCACTGCTTAACCATGCCAAGTATTTCTGGCCTCTCTTTTTCCATAGGCAATATGCACTTAGTCCAAGTTTTTCCTGTGATATCTTAAACCCAATCTCTTTATAGCTGATACCAAGGCAGGCAACACTCTGCGCCTACGTCACGCACGATGAATGATTTTCTCAGTTCCACTCATAATTGGTCTGGTTTATCACAAACAGCAAGAAAGAAAGGTAAGTATCTTTGTTAAGTGGAGAGCTGCCAAGTAACTACAATGAAAGATACTTGTTACCTGTATAACTGCCCCAGCCAAGCAGTGGAGCTGCGGACCAGAAGAAAGCTGCCACCCAAATGAGAACCAGAGCCACCGACATGCTGCTGTTGCTGATGCAGTGACCTGCAATGGCATGCTTGGGTCAGAAAACAGTACTTGGAAAGGCAAACATATCTCTGAAATCCAAATGCACTTCAATACCACCAGCTAATAAGTAAAACACAGCTATTAAAAAAAACCAAAGATACAAAAATGCATATTCATAAGAGAAGTTTCATTTTGAAAGCATGTTGGACCTGTGTTACCATTGAAGAGTGGAAATTAATTTTCTTTAAGCAGGAGACAATGAGTTTGTTGAGCACTGGGGAATTAGAGAATTCTATGTTAGACTTATGCTTTGCAATTCTGTAAAATGCAGGGAAGACTTGTATTTTACATAGAAATGAACAAGATAAATCTAAATGCAGGGGATTTTCTTATTCACTTCAAGGTTTTTCCCTGCTAGAAAGGAGAAAATTGCTCAGACTGTATTAACCATTCAATACAAAAGATTCAATCTGTCCTGCTGTTGCCATGCACTGTGGTTATTTCTTTATTTATGTGGGAAATATTTGGCATCCACCAATTTCTCTTCCTCAAAATTTCTGTGACATACTGGGCTCTTGCTCAGATTTACTTCAGATTCAAGCATAAATTATGCACACCATCAGATGGATATGTGGTAGAGCCTCACAAAAGAGAAGTGTGGGTTTTGAGTATGACTTCTTAACATACAGTGAATAGAAGATGTAGGATTACATCACAGACAAACTCTATCAGCTCCAGCAGCAGTTTGTGCTGAAAGTTAACTTCAACATGTCTATCATTACACCAAACTACAGAAGAACTTTCTGTGGAAGAAATTACCTCCCTGCAGAAGTTCTTTTCACAGCAAATACTCCTCGTTGCTATAGTAAAGAGAAAAACTTGTCTGATATATTCCATGTACTTACACATACTTTCCCTGCAGACATTGATAGGTTCCTGCCTGAAAGATGGTGCAAGCCACTTGCAACAAAGGCATGAAAACTGAGGTGATCCTTGAAATTTTTCTGATCTGATCTGATCCTTGAAAATTCTCAAATATCATCTCACAGAAGATGGATTTTTTTTCAGCCAGATCCAGACAGCAATGTATATAGCTTAGGAGCAATATTTTGAGGACTACAGAGAGTCAGCAGTACCTGTGGAATCCTTGGCACAAGGATGAATTTACCCATGGTGACCCAAGTGCACTTGTAATAATTTGGCTTTTACTGGAGTTAACCCTAAAGGATTCAATGAAAAAGTTTGTAATGTAAATTACTGTATTATGTCCTGGTTTTCAATGAGTTTAATTTATATTTAATATAGCCTGCCTGACAATAGTGACTGAGAGAAATTGCACCAGGTTCAGTGAAGGCAAGAGCTAGACCTGCCTTTATTCCTTACCTCTCTCAGGATGGCAGCCCTTGATATAGCGTGTCACACTGATCACTGTAAGGGTATTAATGCTAGCCAGGCCAAAGAGAAGTGTCAGGAAGCCATCAACCTGAAAAACAAAGCAGTACAGGATGTTCTGTAACTGCAGAGAGTTGAGGGGGAAAAGAACCACAGGAATTTCTCCTGTCATTTTCATGTTAATGAACTCGAAAGTTTTTCCAGAAACACAACTAGCCAGGAAATACAAAATGTCAGCTGCAGTTATCTTCTATAGGATCAGTGAGCAAGTAAATGTTCAAAAATTATATAAGTCCTCTGTCGTGTACATACAATAAGCAAGCAAGCACACCCTTGCATCTCTGCTTCCCTTAAATGACTTGCTAAATGAAGGAGAAAAACTTTGAACTGGAAAGAAGAAAAGCCCTGAACAGGCAAAACTGCCCCAGATGCAGCTGCCCTGCTTATACAGGACAAACATGCAAACTGATCCTAAAATATGAGGCCAAAGAAGGAAGAATGTAGGAGGTGAAGGGCTGGGCTGAATGAGAAAAGATTTTTTTTCCTTTTTTTTAAAAAAAAATAAACACAACCCAAGACCCCCAAAGTTAAATGGATCCAGTAGATTGCAACTCAGTGTCTGGTGTTACTGGCTGCCTGCTATTTCTGAAGCCCAGATCCTCATCCCCTTGCTGTGATGCAGGCAGAGCCGTGCAGCTCCGTGGCTCCTGCTGGCATCAGTGCCTCAGCCACATCCCAGGACAGGCACAGCTCTGTGAGCTTCATGTCCGGGTATAACCGAGAAGTTCTGTCAGCTCTAGTGGACCTGGATGCAGCCATCTGCTAGGGAACACTGCATGGCTGAGAAATGATCCAGGCAAAATTCTGACAGCCAGTCCCTGATTTTTTGGAATCTTGCCATGATATATTAACTGTCCAGAGCAGAGGAGCTCTTGGAGGTGCCAGTTTTACACCTAGTGGAGCAAGAATATTAAGCAAGAGTCTCTGGACTGTAACTAGGCATTGAAATACTGAAATTATTGGCAGAAAAGCACATCATTATTCTACAGGAACAAACTCTGCCTTTGTATGAATGGCACAACTCCTGTGGAATTCAGTTTATCCCAGCACTGAATCTGGGGCTTTAATCCAGGCTTAAAGCTAAAACCCTGGCAGATTGTATAAATTAAATTGGGTAAAGGGTTAGAAAAAGGACTGCTTCATCACTTCTTTCACTGGTGCTTTTTCTTACTACCATTGCCCTCATATTGATTCTACATACTTCTTACTGCCAACTTTTACAGACCCACCACATTTTAAACACATGCAAGGCTTACTACAACAATCTACACTCACCTGTGCTCCAGTTACAGTCAGCTTGCTGTATGAACGCAATCATGTTTAAAACAGACTTTCTTGGATGTCTCAGCTACTTGCTAGGAGCTGCACTTGGCTGAATTTGGCCTTCCGTGTGCTGTGGATGTTGGTGAAATGTCTGGATATGTAAATGTGCTCTGCGTTTCATTAGCCTTACTGGTGCAAACAGCTGCCACTTCTTCATTTGCTCTAACTGCTTCATAGATGCAGAAAACATAATGGTCATAATCTTAAGGAATTGCATTAATTCTTAGACTAGAAAGGAAGCAGTATTTCAACAAGGATGCAAATAAACACTTTGAAAGTTAGTCCAAAGAGCTATGAGATTGAATACAAAAGGAGCAAAACACGCTTCTCACCATGTATCATAGAGCTATGTTAAAAGTAGGGCAGTTTTTCTGAAATAGTTCTGTTTGTTTTATCACTGGCAGACGTAACCGTTTTTCTCCTACCCTCCTTCCCTGATGTCAGACCAAAGAGAGACAATTATGACTGGTTCAAACAGCCTTTGAGCATACCTACAAGGGAAGAAGGTGGGTCTAAAAATACACTCTTGGCCTTTAAGATGAAGCTGTCACCGTAAGAAAGAAAAGCCTAAATGTTTTCTTTGGAGTGGTGCCTTGCTAAAAGAAATTGCAGTTTTATCTAAATCAATATAGTTCATAGCATTGAGCCATTGTCAGCACCACATCTTATTTTCATACCATTTCAAACCAGCATTTCATCAGATCTTCTGCAGGTGTGGGAGCTACCACCAGAGATGTTACCAGAGCCAAATGGTTTGTAAATGACTGAGTGGCAGTAGCCTCCCAGGGCAGCTGTCACTGCCGCCATGCTGGCCACAAGCTTGGTGACAGCAGGAAATGTCATGAAGTAGAGGAAGCTCTGGGGATGACAAGGGCTCAGAAGAAATGAATAAAGGAGGAAAACGGTGGCTCACAAGCTGAAGAACAGCCCATACAGGAGCCACAGCATCTGGAACATTTAACCATGAGAGACCATCCAACGAGCTGCTTTGGGCACATGATGCTCAGACCACTCTTGTCCCAAACTTTCATTGGCAACAAGTGGCTTTTGAGCCCTGCTATGCATAAACCACTTCCCAGGAAGTTTGTCAATGCTGTGACACTTTCATGTCATTGTCACTTAGACATATGTCTCCAGAAGAAAACAAGGGATCTTCCTCTAGATATAGCCAACTTACTTCAAGCTTACACCTACTGGATTTGGAAGAAAGATCTCTGCTGCTTTTTCTGCTCTTGAACAGACACACTGACTGTAGGTAGCAAGGCAACTGCTAGGCACCCAAGTAGGTAACAACAGAAAAACTGCTTTAATATAGCCCCAATTTCTACAGACAGAAATTAATATCTGCAGGTCACAAAAATATGTGATAATTTCAGTTTTCTGCATCTTTAAAGATATATAGAATGACAGCCAAGTATACTATATACTAGTATAATAAATAACATTTAATTACTTTGGAAGATTGATGCTCTTCCCCTTACACAGTTCTGGTTTTCCTCTTATTCTATCCCCCAGCTAGCTCCTTTCTTCCACAGATATATTTCCTCCATTTTTGTGTAATGCAATTTTGTCCTTCCAATTATTAATTATGATCAAATAGCAGCAGTGTTAACAGGCAATAATGAATTCTGACATAAACAAAAAGTTGATTGCACGGTAAATTTAATGCACCAGCTTACCCTTTTGCCCATTAAGAAGCAGGAGTAGATTAGCAACTTTAGAAGCTTTTCTCTCAGTGCTCTACCAGCATTACTCCCTTGGCTATATAGATATGCATGGAATGTGCTCTTTATGCTGCCTGGAAGCTAAGACACAATTGAAGAAAAAATTGTGAGTTTTTTCTACTTTGTACTTGTGCCTGACTTTAAATCTCATTAATGCTCTTGGAGCACTATTTACAACCCACAATACATAGAGCTCTTACTGCATGCAAATTCATTTGCTTCAACACAGGGAGAGTTAGGAATCCCCAGTGCACTATGAAATTTTTAGCTGTGAGCTTGGGTGTGCCTCACTTTTATTACCATTAATACTTATGAATCCCTACTGATTCATAAGGGTTGTCTTCATTTAAAGCAGAGTAAAATATAACGTATAATTCTTATTATTGGATTAATCAAGGTTTAATTGCACAAAAGCAGATTGCCAAAATAGCTATTATATTTCACTTTGGGCCAAAGCATTGATCTCATCAACCACAAAGACTGCCTCACTCCCTCCTCTGGCCAACTGGTAGATCTGTTGTAATTTCCCAAAGTCTGTTTGTTTCCCTTCAGAACCACAGTGTCCTGTATTTTTCTTCTATTGAAAATGAGATAATGAATATGTAAAGAAAAACATAAACTTCAAACAGGGATTATTTACCCTCAGTATATACTTAAAGTTGCCACAATAAGCTTTCTCAGAATTACTATTTTTTTTTTTTACTACAGATCAGATTATTCTGAGATCATAATGTAAAATAGATAATGGCAATAAACCTCACTCAACATCAAGAAAAAAAACAAAACAAATCAATCTTCAAGAAACACATTTGTAAAAGCAATTGTAGATACCTTTAAATAGATATTTTAAAATTAAAAAACTTTATTTTAAATTTAAAAATTTATTAAAGTTTAAAGTATATGCAAAAATATTCCACTTGAGCTTGATGACAACATAATTCTCCTATCTCTCAAATATGCTATGATGTGGTTCTAGAAGAACTACTGAGTTCAATAATCAAAATTAGTCTTCACAGAAGACTACTTAAAATTCACAATCCACAGTGTTCCTGAAGCACTCAGATAGTTTCCTTGAGATTTTTCCTACAATACAGGAGGTGAAAGAGACTTATGATTTACTACAGTTCCCACAACATCTTTTGCTCATGAGAAACTGCTCTGGTATGCTTGCATTCTGCCTTTTAAAATGACTCAGTAGACTTCAAGGGTAGCTATGCTTAGAGGTGCTGGCATTACCCAAGCCATTAGAAGCCTCTGACACAAATGCCACTCCATATATCATAAATGAGAAATAATAAACATAATAATAATAAACAATGAGAATCGATACACTACAGGATTAGAGAGTTTAAACCATTAAGTCAGAGCATCAGACATTCAGTATTTTGCACCCACAAAGCGATTAAATCTTTCTGTGGATGGGATATATTCTAAAGATAGAAAAACATGAATGCAGTATTTAGACTATATTGTGTCCAGATATGTAATTATACTATATAGTTAATGTCTGTTCAGTGCCACCATTAATATATGCAGGTCAAGTTTTAGCTTTAGTAAACCTGGGGAAACCAGTTTTACCTACCAGGTTAATCATCTGAAGTCCAAGGTATACTTACTTTGGGCTGACCTTTACCTACTGTAGCTGTAGTCTCTCAGGCCACAGTTTCTACTCCTAGTTGTGCCTGCCCCTATCAAGGAGCACATCTATGAATGCAACAACCCCACCATTGGTGTGGATGCCCTTGAGGGCACGGCATTTAATGAACAGATAGAAATTGCTTGCAGAATTTCTTTTTCCAGCCTCATCAGATAATAATCTTACTTCAAATACTCCATCTCCAAACACTTGGGAACACCTGCTTTCTAGCTCTGGGTAGATGCTGTGGAATCATGGCAGGTTTTATGCCTCTCATGTCCCCACTCTCATGAAGAGTAAATGGGGAGCATGTAGGTTGTACCACCAGATGATCCAGACACAATGGAA